AGGGAAAGAAAGAGAAGGAGCAGGGAGTGGGGCTTGTTGCCTGTGCCCGCCCCCTGGGCTCTTTACTGCCGGAGCTCTGCTCCTGTGCGCTCCTGCAGGAAATGACCCCTGCCCCACAGGATTTTCAAGACAAGAGAGGAACAGAGGGGGGTTGCCATTGCCTGCCTCTGCAACACAACCTTGGGCTTCCTTGTTGGTCTCTCACCTGAGTACTAACCTGCTGAGCTTCCAAGACCTGACGAGATCAGGCCGGCCTGGGTCATCCAGGTTGGGAGGGCCCGTTTTTATTATAGATAACAAAAACAGGCCCAGCCTAAGAATCCCAAAATCTTAACTTGTTCCAAAGGGTGACTCGTCTGAAAGCATCGTTAATAGCACAATCATTCCTTTAAAAAAAAAAATCACCTATACATGCTGTGACATTGAAACGCCGAGACATCACTTACGATTTTTTTCAACAAACACCTTGCTCACTGGCTGGCTAGCAATGACTGGCGCTGAGAACACGGGCTGCTGTTCGGAGCCTCTGACTTGCTCCTCTTCGATTATGTCCTCATCCTCCACGCCTAATTCGTTGGCACTTTCTGTAGGCCGAGTTTTTCTACGGCACGAAAGGGAAAAAGAAAGAGAGAAAAAGGACAAAGCTGTGATTCTCCCCTCTGGGACTGGGGGAATAGCTGCATGTCAGGGAATTGGCCACACTGTGCTGACATTCAGTAGCCTATGATTCAAAGACCCGGCGCAGCTGCACACAGTTAAGGAGTTCGTGGCTATGCACGGGCATAATCAAGAACTGGGCTGAGGTAATGCAAATTGCATTTCACGGCACAGGGACAAATCCCACCCTGGCTTGTCATGCCACATGGAATTCCAGGGTTGAACAAACCTGTTCTCCTTTGGCTTCAAAAGCAAAGAAGGAGAAGGAGGAGGAGGAGAAGAAGAAGAGATTGGATTTATACCCCGCCCTTCACTTGGAGTGTCAAAGCGGTTTACAAACTCCTTTGCCTTCCCCTCCCCACAACAGACACCCTGTGAGGTAAAAGAAGAAGAAGAAGAGATTGGATTTATACCCCACCCTTCACTACCCAAGGGAGTGTCAGAGAGGCTTACAAACTCCTTTCCCTTCCCCTCCCCACAACAGACACCCTGTGAGGTAAAAGAAGAAGAAGAAGAGATTGGATTTATACCCCACCCTTCACTACCCAAGGGAGTCTCAGAGAGGCTTACGAACTCCTTTCCCTTCCCCTCCCCACAACAGACACCCTGTGAGGTAAAAGAAGAAGAAGAGATTGGATTTATACCCCACCCTTCACTACCCAAGGGAGTCTCAGAGAGGCTTACGAACACCTTTCCCTTCCCCTCCTCACAACAGACACCCTGTGAGGTAGACGGGGCTGAGAGAGCTTTTTCCAGAACTCTCCTTGAGAGAACAGCTCTGACGGAACTATGGCTTGTCCAAGGTCATCCAGCAGCTGCATGTGGAGGAGTGGGGATTCAAACCTGGTTCTCCCAGATTAGAGTCCGCGCACTTAACCAATACACCAAACTGGAGTATGTGGCCGGGTGTCCCCCGTGTGAGTGATTCTTAATTCAAATCTGTGCAACAAGCAAATTCAGCCTGAAGACCATTTTAATGCAGTCCTCAAGACAGTTATTTTGGAATGAATTCTATTCACCCAAACAAGACTTACTCCAAATGAACAGAACAAAGTTTGAGTCCAGTGGCACCTTTAAGAGGAGAGATGGAGTGTTTATTATGCAAGAGGGAACAGTGAATGGGAGTATTTATTGAGCGCTGTGTGGTAAATCCCTTTCATTCAGCCTCATCCCCTAATACGAGGATACTTCTGTCTACTTTTATCTGACTGTGAGTCAGGTTACTGAGATATGGCATAGTGCTTTCAATCATCAAAATGCCATCATGTTTTAAGAGCAAATGAATTGTGGAGGACTGGAATGGTTATCCAGATGTAACAGTGTCAAAGAGCAATAATAAAACTGGGTCACAAAATATCTGGGGGAACAGGAGAACCAAACTGCAAATCCTTACTTGACTTTTTTCCGAGGTTTACGCGTTAGGTTTTCTTCAACCGGCTCGGGATACAAGAAGTTTCCATTCTGTTTGGTGAAGGAGCTCTCCAATTCTGAATGTTTAAGAATGGAAAAAACAAGATAAACTACACTGCAAGCCAGCGATACAGTCTTTGCATAAGGGGACATCACAATGCCGGGAAGATAGCAATTTTTTTCTGCGATTCCAACACCCAATAGTTAATTTGGATATATTTAGGAATGCAACCACGAGCCTTAATTTTAGAACTCTTTCTGTTTACTGCAGTAACAAAGCTGCCAATATTCCATTAAGCCCAGCATTTACTTCTTTATTTAGGAGATTTCGATGCCGCCTTTCCTGAGTGCTGCTCACAGTTGGCATGATAAATTATCAATATAAAAAAAAACAGGTCATTAAAACAAGACCAGGGACATAAAAATGCATAAAACTATCCGTAAAACAGATGGGGCAAAGACCTGAGCATACATCTGCTGGAAAGATAAAACCCCTAATTAAAAGAAATGTTTTGGCCTGGCGCATGGAAGACAGTAAGGGAGATCCTCAAGATGTCTTGCAAATAAATAACTTTGGAAATTATACTTCATGTCCACAAAAAGCAACCAGCGACTTCCCAGGCCAAAACCGCTGACTTTCAGTAGTTGCGCTCAGGAGACCACAGACCACCAATGTATGCCGATTGCTATGGGTAGAGAACATCAGTGGCTTATCAGAAAAGGGCAATTTCAGTGTAGAAATGGTAACTGAGGAAAATGTTGTCATAATTGCTCCCATCAAAGCCTGCGGATGTAAACCAACTGATTGAGGCACTCGACGAACGCCAATGTGGCTAATGCAACTAAACATTTCTGCACATTCTCTAGAGAGGACCAAAAGCGTCCTCGCATCTCCAGTGATTTTACCGAAAGCAAGATTCATGGAGGTGGACCAGAATCTGATGCCTATTATCTTCCCAGACAGAATTCAGCAATCATAGAATCACAGAATCACAGAGTTGGAGGGGACCTCCAGGGTCATCTAGCCCAAACCCCTGCACAATGCAGGAAATTCCCAAATATTGCCCCCACACACACCGCCAGTGACCGCTGTTCCACGCCCAGAATATGACAAAAGCCTCCAGGATCTCCAGCCAAACAGGTCCGGAGAAAAATTACTTCCTGACCCCAGAGTGGCAATCAGCATTTCCCTGGGCGAGTAAGAAAGGGCCACGAGAACTAAGCACTGAGGCGGCCCTTCTTGCCCTCTCTCTCCTAATCTGCCTAAATTCACAGAATCAACATTGCTGTCAGAGGGCCATCTAGCCTCTTTCTGAAAACCTTCAAAGAAGGAGAGACATCCTGTGTGGTAGGTGGGGCTGAGAGAACTCTCTCGAGAACTGCCCTTGAGAGAACAGCTCTGAAAGAACTTGTGACTGACCCAAAGTCACACCAGCAGCTGCATGTGGAGGAGTCGGGAATCAAACCCGGTTCTCCCAGATTAGAGTCCACGCTCCTAACCACTACACCAAAATCTGCCCCCCCAACAAGTGCCTACCTGCTGAGCCTAAGGCTTGCCTTAACAAGCACCTAGGCTTATCCAACTGCCTCGCGCCCCCCCCCGCTACCAGCTGCTCCTGACTGCTGCTGGCTTGTGAGCCCCCGCTGTCTCCACCTGAGCACGTCCCGCTTTCCCAGAGCAGGATTCGCAGTGCTGCCTGTCCGCCCTTTCGCTTCCAGCAGCAACTCTGGGCTTTCCTTAGGCGGTGTGCCTCCCGGGTCCCGGGCAAGTGGATTCCCTTGTCGGTCTTCCCCTGCCACACTCCCAGAGCCAAATTGGTGTAGTGGTTAGGAGTGCAGGCTCCAATCTGGGAGAACCCAGTTTGATTCCCCACTCCTCCACATGCAGCAGCTGCTGGGTGACCTTGGGTCAGTTACAAGTTCTTTCAGAGCTGTTCCCTCACGAGCAGCCCTCGAGAAAGCTCTCTCAGCCCCACCTACCTCACAGGGTGTTTGTTGCGGGGAGGGGAAGGGGAAGGAGATTGTAAGCCGCTCTGAGTCTCCTTCGGGTAGTGAAGGGCAGGGTATAAATCCAATCTCTACTACTTCTTCATTCCAGCCACTCTACAACTTTGTCTTCCTCTGCTGAATGCATCATCTGCTTGGATTCTGTTCTACAAACGCCCACCTACCCAGAGGCATCTTCTTTTTCTTGCGCTTCCTCTGAGGGGCAGCATCTTGCGCCTCGGAAGTCAGAGGGCCGATGCTCTCAAACGGCCGGCGAACGGCATCAGGAACGATAATATCTGAAAGAGCGGAATCGAATTAGAACTTCAGCAAGGTAGTTGCTAAGGTAGCCTTGTAAACGATGCCCGTGGCCTGTTTTATTTCTTACCCAGCTATTTGTGGGACTGTCCACACACTTGTTACCAGACGTATTGACAGCTCCTAAGATACAGGTGATGCGGGGGTTGCCAGCCTCCAGGTAGGGGCTGGAAATCTCCCAGAACTACAAGTGATCGCCAGACTACACAAATCATTTATTATTTATTTAAAACATTTATCCCCCTTCTCCTGGAGAAAATGGCTGCTTTGGAAGGTGGGATGCATCGCATTATAACCTCCCAAAGCCTCTCCCCTGCACGGACTCTAATCTGGGAGAACCGGGTTTGATTCCCCACTCCTCCACTTGCAGCTGCTGGTGTGACCTTGGGCAAGCCATAGTTCTATCAGAGCTGTTCTCTCAAGGAGAGTTCTGGAAAGAGCTCTCTCAGCCCCACCTACCTCACGGGCAGTGTTCCCCCTCTAAGCTGAGTTAGTGTGAGCTAGCTCACAGTTTTTAAACCTCCGGCTCACACATTTTTGTCTTAGCTCAGGAAGGACGGCTCCGAATCACACTGATTTATGCAGTGGCCAAACTGCTCGCCCACAACTTTAATGCCAGTAGCTCACAAAGTAGAATTTTTGCTCACAAGTCTCCACAGCTTAGAGGGAGCATTGCTGATGAGAGAGACACCCCCACCCACCCCCGCCCGCCTTCAGGTACAAGCTCTCCCTCCTCTGTGAGGGCAGATCTGCGCGTCGTCCCTCCCAATAGCTAGCAATGCAAAACAATCCAGTGGAGCCTGAGCGGTGGGTGTTGCCTTCTGACACACTTCCGGTGATGTCAGGGGGTGTGGCATATGCTAATGAGTTATACTAATGAGCTCCTGCACCTCTTTTTCTACGAAATGACTCCTGGACATTCCTCAAGGGGGGGGGGGCTTAGAAGTCTGCTGTAGTCTGCTGTTTCTCCAGACCTAAGACAATGTGACTAAGCGATTACTTCATTCCTCTGCCAGCTGCTACTGCTTCACAGTGAGGAGACCACAAGAAATTTAGACTAATGGTTAGTTAGGCAATGATTCCGAGCGCGCACACACACAGAGGAGGCATGGGGCGATTCTGCATTGGCTTTTCCCTCCGTTGTTTTACCAGACCCACCTTGGACAGAAGTTCCCCTCTGCATTGCATGCTGCTTTCACTTTCTTCAATCATTGGGTTTTATGGTACCTTCTGCATAGATTTATGGCCATTTTATGGCTGTTCAGGGGTGACTTTGCAGTCAGTATGGGTGCTGCCTGGACATATCCAAATGTGGTTTTGAGCTGCACCTTTTCCTCAGTGTTGAGAAAAGGTGGAGCAAATGCCAGATGCAGAATTGCCCAGGGGTCATTTCCTGCAGGAGCGCACAGGAGCGAAGCTCCAGAAGTAAAGAGCCCAGGGGGCGGGCACATGCAACAAGCCCCACCACCTGCTCCCAGCAGCCCTCAGTCAGAGCAAGAAGCAGCCAGGTAAGTTGCAGAGCCCCCCCCCCAGTCCAAAACAGTCCAGTGGCACCTTTAAGACCAAGTTTTATTCAGGTAGAAGCTCTCCCTCCTCTGTGAGGACAGATCTGCACGTTCCCCCCCCCCCAATAGCTAGCAATCCAAAACAGTCCAGCGGAGCTTAAGTAGCTGGTGTTGCCTCCTGACACACTTCCGGTGACATCAGGGGGTGTGGCATATGCAAATAAATTATGCTAATGAATTATGCTAATGAGCTCCTGCACCTCTGTTTCTATGAAATGACCCCTGCCCATAATATAGTCCAGGCCAGCTGACACAGCGTGGAAGAATCACGTAAGAATCTCCACCATCTAAAATGCTGCATGTGCTCTTGCTTCCTATTTTTCATGTACTGCTCTTGACCAAGTCACTTTCTTACCTAATGAATGTATCCCCTTAACCTTTTTTCTTTTGGAACGACCAAGAGGAACTTCATCTAGAGTAAAGGGGGGGAAAAAAAACAAGTTTACATGCCATGAAGAAACTTCTGCCATGAACTGGGCCTCTGGAGGAGGAATGGTAAAGGACTCTAAGTAGACAAATGAAGAGGAGGATTGTATCCACGTACCACCCAGAACACAGCTGAAGATGCCCTCCTTTATTTATTTACTTATTTAAAACATTTCTGTGCTGCCTCTCCACTCAAATAGGAACTCCAACGGCAAACATTGAAATATTTCAACATTAAAACAGTAACATTCACATTTTGGTGCAGAATGTTACACTCTCAAGCCATGGACGACTGAAGACACAAATTAAAAATCCAAGCAACTCCTGAAAACTATATTTTATGGCTTTTCCCAATAATTGAACAAGCCAATATCTGGCTGAGTACTTCTCTAGCATCGGAGGGCATTTATGTTAGCACGTTTTAACGTTCTTCCTTCTGCTGTTTTGTACGGGAGGTTTAAAAAAATTCCATACTCCTCTAGGCTTTGTTCATGCGGTCTGGGGGAGACAGAAAGTACTGAACATGTTCCCCTGCGTTGTATTATTTTACTGTAATATTCGTGATCACATATACCTAGAACCTCTGCTACAAAATCGTGAGGGTCAATCTGATGTTTGCAAGACAGTTTTTATACTATCTTCCCATAACTCTGAGATCACTGATTTGGTGGCTAAATTTTTATGTTGTGCCATTAAGAGGAGAGGAATCTTTCAGCCCCAACAATTAAGTTTGTACCTTTATCCCTTGATGGTGTATGTTTTGTTGTGATGGCAATAAAGGTAGCTGATGATGAATTGCAAGCCTCAATAAAACGTCAAATTGAACTAGCTCCTAATTGTGGGCACAGCATGTATCCTCACTAGTGTTCTTTGGAGTTCCCTTTTCTTGTGTTATTCCAAGAAAATTAAAAGACCTAATGATCCCTCATTACAAAAGAGCATAAAGAGGTTAAATTCTTTCCCCTCAGCCATACTGGAAGGCCGATTTGCAGGCAAAGTGTATCCAGACAGAATTTGTAAGTGTGGATCCGGTCAGCTTGAGTCCCTAGAACAGTGATGGCGAACCTTTTAGAGACCGAGTGCCCAAACTGCGACCCAAAACCCACTTATTTATTGCAAAGGGCCAACACGGCAATTTAACCTGAGTACTGAGGTTTTACTTTAGAAAAAAACAACTCATACATTAACTTAAGATGATCCAAACAAAGTAAGGACAGCAATCCCAAATTCTTTCATTTACTTAAAATTATTTGGCAGAGAACTCAACACTTTAATGATGGTCAGGGCCTGGCTGGGGCGATGGCACGTGTGCCCACAGAGAGGGCTCTGAGTGCCACCTCTGGCACCTGTGCCATAGGTTCGCCACCACTGCCCTAGAATGTATTTTATCGGAGAGTGAAATCTGGTGTGATTTGAAAAATATTTGTCCTTCCTCCTAAATAGGTTATCTGAATTTATCATCTCAAAAAGCTGTCCAGTTTTTACTTGTAGATGAGGAACGGAAAGCTACCTTAGCAGTTGCTAATTTATTTAGCTGCAGGGATTGCCTTTAAGGGGGCTGGATCCCAGCCTGTTCAAGACCTTTGAGTCAGAAGAACAGTAAGATAAGGAGGACGCTTTACCTTGTCCCACTGGTTAGCAGTCTGTTTTAAGCAAAACATAAGGCAGTCTATTAAATAACCAATTGACTATTCGACAATGAATAAACTCACCCTGGCTTCCACTGCTGATCAAAAACGTTCCCAGTCGAGGTGAAAAAGTTACAAAGAAAGAAAGAAAGAAAGAATACTATTAAATTTGGAACAAATGACAACCAGAAATGTAAAAACTCTCATGTGTATGAGGTAAGGTTTGCTTCCCTCCCAGCATATCCAAAGATCATAAGCCCTTGGGCATGAACGATTCCCCTGCTTCCCCTAATACATTTCGCCTTGTGAAGTCTCCCAGTGAATCAGTCAATCTTACCTTGGTACTGGTGGAAGGACACGGGGCGGGCACTGAAACAAGAGCCCAGATATGTGTTAGTTTATTAAATTCTGGTAGCCTGTCCTTCGCGTAACAAAATAATATATTTACAACCATCACATGCTTCTCCGTCTAATCATGCGTATTAGCAAAATGAGAGCATAAGCATTCTGAAGACAAGTTTTGCCACAGAAAAGCATTTCTCTCTACTGGGCTAACTAAAGGATAGCCTATAAACCAGCGAGCTCTCTCCCAGCCAGACAGTTTAAGAATCAGATCTTGTACATTAGGTATATTTAAAAAAAGCAAGCTGACTCCAAAAACCGGACAAAAATCTTTGCACTTTTTAAAAAAGAGAAACTTGGAAATAAACTGGGCTTACCACTTGCTTCTTGCCCATGGCGCAATCGAGATTCTGTGCAACCAAAAGCAATTCCCCGTATCACCAGTGACCCTTGTTAATCCAGTACTAAAAATAAACTTCCAATGCCCAGGATTATCTGGAAGTGCAACGCCCAATTAAGAGGCTGATAGTGCTTTCCAGGGCCGTAGTCAGGATCTTTTTTACTTCGGGGGGCATTTAAATAAGTCGGGGGCACCCACCCACATACACACACCCAGGCTGTGTCAGAAGCGACAAGTGAGTAAAAGTTTTAAAAAGCAATGAGAGCGAGAGGAGAAGAAGAAGAGATTGGATTTAAACCCCGCCCTTCACTACCGAAAGGAGTCTCAGAGCGGCTTACAAACTCCTTTCCCTTCCCCTCCCCGCAACAGACACTCTGTGAGGTCGGTGGGGTTGAGAGAGCTCTTTCCAGAAGTGTTCTTGAGAGACCAGCTCTGAGAAAACTTGTGACTGACCCAAGGTCATCCAGCAGCTGCAAGTGGAGGCGTGGGGAATCAAACCCGGTTCTCCCAGATTAAAGTCCGTGCACTTAAACACTACACCAGAGAGGCAAGGGCACCAGCAGGCATGGCAGGGCGATGGCTCAGTGTGGCAAGGCTGTGGCGCATGTGAAACTAAAATAAAACAAACCAGCTGGATGGGATTCGGGAGGCCTGGGCAGTAAGTTGGGGGGGGGCTGGCCCCGAGATGCCCCTCTGTAGCTACAGGCCTGGTGCTTTCGTTGAAATCTGGTGTGGTCTGCCATTGACTACAGGATAAAGTATTTTAGAATGATGTATTCATTTTATATACTTTATGCTCTGGCTTACTGTTATTGGCTTGTTCTCAAGTATTGATATTATTGACCTGGCTCTTTTTACTTGACCATTTATTTTATTTTTTTTATTTATCATTGCATTTATATCCTGCCCTCCCCGCAAGCGCTCAGGGCAGGTCACAACAGGTTCAGGTACAGTAGAATAATAAATACAAGTTCACACAAAGTTAAAATGGTTCAAACCAACAGATAACAAAAGATTCACTTTCCGGCATCCACAAATGCCTCCCACAAGGGCAGGGCATATGACGAATAAAACAAGGACCCATTAGAGAACCAGTCTGGTGTAGTGGTTAAGTGTGCGGACTCTGATCTGGGAGAACCGGGTTTGATTCCCCACTCCTCCACATGCACCTGGCTGGATGGCCTTGGGCAAGCCGTAGTTCTGATAAGAGCTGTCCTTGAAAAAGAGCAGTTTCTGTCAGAGGTCTCTCAGCCCCACCTACCTCACAGGGTGTCTGTTGTGGGGAGGGGAAGGGAAAGGAGGGGAGTTGTGGGGAGGGGAAGGGAAAGGAGTTTGTAAGCCTTTGGGTAGTGAAGGGCGGGGTATAAATCCAATCTCTTCTTCTTCTTCTTCTACCTCACAGGGTGTCTGTTGTGGGGAGGGGAAGGGAAAGGAGTTTGTAAGCCGCTCTGAGACTCCCTTGGGTAGTGAAGGGCGGGGTATAAATCCAATCTCCTCCTCCTCCTCCTCCTCTTCTTCTTGGTGGATGCCGTAGCAATAGTTAAGAAAGGGCAGTGTAGCTGGGCGGTGTAAGCAGGGGAAGCCAAAGTCTTCAGGCGTCTGCCACCTCAACCAAAGGTCTGGCGGAACGGCGCCGTTTTACAGGCCCTGAAGAATTGCATTAAATCCCGCAGGGCCCTGATCTCGAGTGGAAGCATGTTCCACCAGGCCGGGGACAGGGCAGAAGACACCCCGGCCCTGGTCGAAGTTAAGCAGATGTCTTTCAGGCTGGAGACTACCAGCAGTTGTTGCTCAGCAGAGCGCAAAGCTCTTCGGGGCACACGGGGAGAGGTGGTCCCACACGTATCTTTGTCCCAGGCCCCATAGGGCTTTAAAGGTCAATGCCATAACCTTGAACCGGATCCAGTACTTGATTGGCGGCCAGTGCAATTGGCACCAACATCACAGTCAGCAGGTGTGCCGCCACGTTTTGCATGAGCTGCAGTTTCCGGGTTAGGTTCAAGGGCAGCCCCGCATACAGCATAGATAGATCAGTTTTATTCATGGTCACTGACCGACACATAAAGCCATGACATTTTGTAACATGAGTAAAAGATATCATATTAAAACAGGAACAGAACTTTAAGGCTGGTTATAAAAAAACACCATAAAAACCATAATGGTTCGAATTAATAAAACGTAATCATAATTCTCTTTTCAAGCGGCTATAGATTTTCTCATTCTTAGGGCAAGCCATCCGAACCTAGCCACCCGATAAGCAACTTCTGCCCGGCTATCCGATAGCAAATTTCTTAAAAGGCAGATGTTAAGTCGCTCGCTTAACAAAACAGTCAGAGAGTGATTCAGCAAGAACAGAACTTTATTCTTCAACTCGAACACAACTCCAACACGGATCAACATCAGATAGCCAGAACAGCTTTTACATTGCAGCTGTCCTGCTTTTAAACATTCCCGGCTAATGTAGCCACACCCACTGTACACATATCAACCTATGAGGTTGCCGAGATAATGTCCAATCACATTCGTTCCCGCTCAGGGAGCTTGCTTGAAGTGATTGGCTTGTTACTTCCTGGGCTAGCAATACTATTGGATGACTTTGGATCCGGCAGGCAGAGCCGCGGGGGGAGGAGGAGGAGGGGTGGGGGCGCTGCTCTGCCCTGGTGGGCGGGGCTTCTAGGAAATTTCGGTGGGGGCTCCAGCCCCGGAGCCCCCACGAAGATTACGCCGGTGATCCTAGCCCAGGATGAAGCTTAACATTACATTTCAATGAGGTGTTTCACACATGCTAGGCATTCAAGGCAGCTTTGAATACACTACAGCAGAAGTAGCCATTGCGTGGATCACGGTAGCTAAGTCCCGGGAGGAGAGACAAGGAACCAGCTGCCTGACCAGCCAAAGATGGTAAAAGGACGATCTAGCCGCCGTGGTGACCTGGGCCTCTGTTGAAAGTGAAGCATCCAGGATCACCCCCAGACTCTTCCACCCTCGGCGCTGGTGACAACGGTGCCCCATCAAGGGTTGGGAGCCAGATTCCTGATCCCACCTCCCACCCCCACCCCCACGGTTCAGATACAGGACCTCCATCTTTGTTGGATTTAACCTCAGACAACTCTGTTTTAACCACGCAGCCACAGCCCTGTCCAAGATTTCTGGAGCCGCGTCCATACATACATACATCAGCAGACAGAGCTGGGTGTCATCAGCATACTGGTGACAGCCCAGCCCAGCCCTCCGGTCCAACTGGGTGAGGGACAATGCCCCTTCTAAGCTGTGGAGTCCCGTGAGCAAAAATTATACTTTGTGAGCTACTGGCCATTGAAGTTGTGAGCGAGTAATTTGGCTGCTGCATCAATTAGTTTGCTCTCTGGACTGCCTTTAATTCCATCTAAAATGTATAGGGTTTACTTGGATATGCGATGGACACATTGCAGAGCAAAAAAATTATTGGTCTTCCGTCGCAGAAAACTTTTTAAAATGACTTCGGTATAGATTTCCCTTTCTCAGTCGATGTTAGTTTATTTAAGTTACGCTGCTGTGTTCCCAAAGCATAAACTGAGCATAATTTCACATACGCTAACAGCTACAAGAATAGAGTTCACACATGTCACTGAAAATCAGATTCAAACCCTACAGTGGACAAGTGGCTTTTGAAATTTAAGGAAACTTTTCAAATGACAAATTTAAAAAGAGGTTATGATGTGTGTCAACTGCAAAGAACATAAGAACATAAGAGAAGCCCATGTTGGATTAGGCCAATGGCCCATCTAGTCCAACACTCTGTCACACAGTGGCCAAAAGAAGAAGAGAAGAGATTGGATTTATACCCCGCCCTTCACTTGGAGTCTCAGAGCGGTTTACAAACTCCTTTCCCTTCCTCTCCCCTCCCCACAACAGACACCCTGTGAGGTAGGTAGGGCTGAGAGAACTCTGACAAAAACTGCTCTTTCGGGAACAGCTGTGCCAGAGCTTGTGACTGACCCAAGGTCACATCAGCAGGTGCAAGCGGAGTGGGGAATCAAACCTGGTTCTCCCAGATTAGAGTCCGCACACTTAACCACTACACCAAACTGGCTCTTAACCACTACACCAAATACCAGGGGCCATCAGGAGGTCCAGCAGAGGATTCAGCAATCTTTTCTTGCAAGAACTCTATGATGTAATTTAGCTTGTCCATGTAATAAGAATAATTACTGTGAATGAAGTCTTTAAAAAAATTGCCCTCTTTCCAGTATTTTCAAATTAGTTGTATTTATGATTTATTTTTTTTACTTTATCATTTCTTGCTGAGACTCAAAAGAGGATTACAGGATATGAACAGTGCAGTCAGACAGCAAAGTACGGGAAATAAACAATGAGATAGGACTTGGATTGACAAAATGCAAACCAGAAACTATCCAAAGCAACAATGCTAAAAGCAGATTAGGAGGTAAAGACAACACATTGAAAGCAGATGACACAATATTAATGATGCTACAGAGAAAACATCCATTTTTGAGGAGCAAAAGGCTAGACCGGCATGACATATATAGGCTCTTTGTGACTTCACAGATGTTTGTCGTTTTTGCAGAAAATGGAAAGGAACAGAAGACTAGGAGTGAAGTTTTGCTCACAAGACTCCACAGCTTAGAAGGAGCATCGCCACCCACCACAAAGAGATTTCTCCCATAGCGAAACAGTGCTTAGCACTGCGGCACGACGCATGGCAGGCAATGGCTCTGGAACACTGCAATAGGTCTCTCACCGGGCGGGCGTTCTCCATCCTATTCCCTGCCTGCGGTAACAATTGCGAAGCAGCAACACCCAAGAAGCCCTGTCTCCAAGACGCTCTGCTAAAAACACAGGGAGGGAAGAGGTGGGGTAGCAGAGAAGCCATTTCCGGGGTGGGGGGGGAGGAAAGGCAGAGGCTCAGCTTCTGCTGTGCTCTTGGCGCCCCCTTCTGGGCTACGGCGTTTCTATGCACATTTACTGCAATCCCAAATTAATTGCAGAGAGAGATTGCAATTTGCAAATATACGTGCCTGGTGTCTCAGGCGCTCCAGTCCGCTCAAGTCTGCCACTTGAGGTAGTCTTTTCAGGGCCACAAGACTCCTGTTTATTTTGACTTTATTTGCAGTTCCTTGCCTAGTCTTGAGATGGGGAGGTGGGGGTGGTTTGCCTGGACATTGGCTGATTCCGCGTTGGGTTTTCCCTCCGTTGATTTAGCAAACCCACCGTGGAACAGAAATCCCCTTCTGCGTTGCATGCTGCTTTCACTTCCTTGGATCATCGGATTTTATGGTAGCCGCCACACTCCGTGCGGCTTTCGCTTCCTTTGAGCAACGGGTTTTATGGTACCTGCTACATAGATTTATTTATGGCCGTTTTACGGCTGTTCGGGGATGACTTTGCAGCCCATTCTGTATGTGGTTTATAATCCACTCTCGCCCTGCTGTCGAGACGGGTAAATTTGGACTCGGGATATGCGCTTGCCTTCTGCATGTTTGCGATCTCATCCGTCTCAGCCTGCCTTCACAGTAGTTCGGCACTTGAGCAGACGATGGCGCTCGTGTGCCACGTCCTTCCTTTGCTAGCCTGTGTTATACTGTCCCCTTCCACAGCTTCTTGTGGGGAATCCTTCAGGACGTCCACGGGCAAAGCTTGAACCCCAGAAATCGCGGATCCACAGCTTTGTGGCTACACCGTGCAGCAAAAACTTGTTTCTGATGAACAGATCCTCATGGATCCTTAGGATTTTTACTTTCTATCCCCCCCATGGTCACCAGCAAATCTTATATCATGTCCAGAGGCAAAACTTGTCGTATTACTATGCCATTGAAGGTTTTCTTTCCACTCTGGGTCCCCTACTGTCCTCTTAATTTAGGGTTCCTTTTTTCCGGAGCATTAAGAAACCCTACTGTTATGTCTGCTGACTGCCACCAGGCGCCAGCGACAAATACCTGAGCTTGGTTCTTAGAGACAATAGGGACTAGGATCCTGAAACCTCTAAAGGGAAAGGGAAAGGGAAAGGTTCCCTTGCTCGAAAGCCAGTCCGACTTTAGGGTTGCGGTTCTCATTTTCGTTTCAAAGCCGAAGAGCCAGCACTGTCCGAAGACGTTTCCGTGGTCATGTGACTGGCACGACTAAGCACCCAGGCGCACGAAACGCTGTTACCTTCCCACCGAAGTGGTACTTGCAATTTCTTGCTTTCGAACTGCTAGGTTGGCAGGAGCTGGAACTAGAGACGCGTGGGTCTCGAACTTCTGAACTACTGACCTTCACCAATAGGAACTTGGGGGGAAGTTTAAACCCTCCAATAGGACCTGTGAGTGGACCAAGGGGACTGTATATAGTTGGCCGGCCTGCCGGTATTTGTATGTTATGTTGTGTACCAGTAAACATGTGCTGAGTATCACTCTGTTTCCTGATCATTCGATGCGTCGAACCCACTGCACAACACCTACGAAATTTGTTTCTCCCAAGGTCATTCATCCACTGATGGCCTCTTCCCAGAATTTTAAACACCAAGACACAGCCCAGCAGTGTGTGGACAATATGTTGTCGAAGGCTGTCACGGCTGGAGTTAATTAGTTGCTGTAGATTTTCCGGGTTGTGTGCCAAGACCACGGCCACACAACCCGGAATATCTACAGCAACTAGTGTGTGGACACATTATTGCAGTTTAATGATTACACCGCTAGTCCACTATTCATACTCGACAGACCTCCAAGGGCAGTAAAACTGTAAGGCTAACATAAGTCTGAGACTCAAGACTCCAAGATCGTGCTCTCTCTCGGGAAACGCCAGGAGCAAGCGCAATTTCAGACTATTAACCCTCTAATTTATTTGAGTCATAAGCGGAGGATAGGAGAAGGAGATTTGTCACTGTGGTTCACCACTGAGGATAAGAGGAGAGAGTTAACTTATACAGGTCTGGCCACTCTGCGCATGCACTGATTCTGCCGGGACTCGGTTACATGCACAGGATGTGCTAGGCTAGTAACTATCCTTTGCTTGGATTGGCTGTGTTTGCATTGCCACAGTGGCTGGAGACTGTCCATTTTCTGGCTGTGAAAAGTATCCGTTCAAACCAGATACTGGGCGTACGGGTTATGTTCCCCGTAAGCTGAGTTAGTGTGAGCCAGCCAGCTCACAGTTTTTTAGCCTCCGACTCACACATTTAGCCTCCGACTCACACATGGCTCCAGAGCAAACTTATCTATGCAGCAGCCAAAATGCTTGCTCACAACTTAATTTTTTTTTTTTTGTAATACAGTATTTTATTCCACTTGGGGGTATACATACATTTTTAAAATTTAATTTGACACAAAACTAAGCCTCTCTATGTTCATTGAGAGTAAACACTATCTCTGGTAAAAGTGCAAGGAATGAATAACATCTAACTGAGTGCATAGACCGGTTTTGCACAGGTTACTGCTAAGGATCACATTGGTATTGGGTTATCTTAAGTCAGGTGCTAGGTTTTTGTGTGTGTATAGGAGCCTAAGACAATGCCTGGTAGAAAACTTCTGTGACACTTTGCTTTTTCTCCCCACATAAAGTGCTGATACAATAACTTAGATGTTACAAAAAGAAGCTGTAACAAGTACTCCAAAGCATTGTAGACACACAACAGAGAGCAATTATGACTTCAACATTACAACTCCTTGGTCATCAGCTCAGGCTTCTGTAGGTTTTGGTCTGCGCACATGCTCCAGCTGGCCTGAATCTGAAATATCGTAGCTGGTCTTGTATTTGGCCAAGATTTTCATCAAGGGGCGGAGCTTCAACCACCATGTTGCTCACAAGACTCCAGTTTAGAGGGAGCATACAGTTTAGAGGGAGCGGAGGCGTGGTTGCATTCATGATTCAGCAGCGGCGGCAGCAGCTCGCCCGCAGCGTAGAAACCCGTCGACCCTCGCCCAGGAAATGACGAAGAGTCTTGTCGTCATAAGAGCGTCAGCAAGCAAAGGGCAAGCGTTTTGAAAACCTCAAACCGGGTGTTGCGCCAAAGACATCCTGATTGTTCACCTGTTCCTTTAGGAATATAAAATAGCATTTTCGGGAAACGTTTTAACACACTGTGTAGACCCTATCACAATATTAAGAATGTGTTTCTTGCTGTTCTGCCATTACGACTTATGACACGCAATTTGACTCCAGCTTGTAAACCATTGCAACTTTTATTTGCATCTCTGTAATTCTGTATTCATTTTTGAAAGCATCAATAAACAGTAGAAAACTGGGGGGCGGAAGGGTGTTGTTGTTGTTGTTGTTGTCTGCCTAATGAACGGTATAGTCCCCCTCGCAACTGACATGTGTATGCGTGAAACCGCGCGCGACGCCGGCGGCGATCTACAAAGCAAGAATCCTGCCGCCAGCCTCAAAGAAGGCGGCGGCGGCGACGATCTCCTGGCATCCCGGCGCCCCCT